CGCATTGGAGGTCATCTCACTGCCATTGAAAATGGACTAGAACATGGCCGGCCGCGGTGGCTCACGCCTGTAATCCTAGCTCTCTGGGAGGCCGAGGCGGGCGGATTGTTTGAGCTCAGGAGTTCGAAACCAGCCTGAGCAAGAGCGAGACCCCGTCTCTACTAAAAATAGAAAGAAATTAATTGGACAACTAAAAATATATAGAAAAAATTAGTCGGGCATAGTGGCACATGCCTATAGTCCCAGTTACTTGGGAGGCTGAGGCAGGAGGATCCCTTGAGCCCAGGAGTTTGAGGTTGCTGTGAGCGAGGATGACGCCATGGCACTCTAGCCTGGGCAATAGAGTGAGACTCTGTCTCAAAAAAAAAAAAAAGAAAATGGGCTAGAACATAAGCTCCATGAAAGCCTTGTTCACTGCTGAGTCTCCAGTGTCAGGCTTGGAGCACAGTAGGTGCTCAGTAAGTACTTATGGTATGAACAAAAGTCCAGGGACGCTGGGAGCACAAAGGAGATATCCATCCCAGAGTGGGGGAGGAATGAGCAAGAAAGAAGGGACTCCAGAGTGGAGTCTTACAGCCTGAGTAGAGGTTGGCTAACTAAGGGAGGTGTGGGGAGGGTGACCAATTAGAGGACACAGTGTTGGCAAAGGCATAAGCGCCTGAAGCACTCTGGAGTATGCAGTGTGGGGCCATCCCATGTGTATGGCCAGGGCTGTTGGAGGCTCTGAAATGTTGGAGGAAGGACTTTGAAGGTGGTCCTAGGCTGGGCTTCTCCTGAAGACCAAGCTAAGAGACCTGGGTTCCTAGTCAGGGCTCTACCACAAACTGGTGGTGGGAAACTGTAGAATGGGCAGGTGGGTTTGGCCGTGCTGATTTGTGGGGTATGCCTGGCTAGGAGTCCATGACTCTCCCATCATTAGCCATTGCCTGTCCCCAGTGGCCCCAAAAACCCCAATACGGAAGTCAGCTACAAAGAGAAACTTCCCCTTCTTTGCTCTGACCTAAGCTGAGGATCCAGACAGGCCCTTGGGCCCGGGTCTCCTGGACACCTCTGTGACATCAGAGACTTCACTGCAACCCACTCTTACACCTCATCCCTTGCCCACCATGCCACGCCTGGCTAATACCAGTGGGAGCCACCCAAGGAGCAGTGGGGGCTTATCTCTGCTTTTCCAGACCAGAGCTGCTCTGCAATCCTGTTTATTTATCCAGAGCAGCCGCCTGCTGAGAAAATGGCTGTGTTTGTTTCCAAGTGTGTTGTGTGAACTGTGGGCTAAATATACCCACACCACCGCCTCTCCAGCACCCGCCCTGGAACAACACGCCCCATTTTGCTCATGGTCTCTCTGCAAAAGCAATCCCCAAAATCCACGCCCCTTGGAAATCCTACTCCCCACTCCCCAGGAAAAGGAGCCGCAGTAGAGATGAAGGTTGTCCTGACCAGGAACACATGAGTGGGGACTGGGGTGGGTCAGTGCCTTGTTCTCTGTGGCACTGAAATGAGAATGTTCCCTCCACCCTAGTATGACTGTTTCTGGACAGTGAATGCTTTGTGCCCTTGCAGGGACAGGGCCTGTTTACTTCAACCCAGTCTCAGAGCTGAAAATTTCCTGTGGCTGCCAGCCCTCTACTTCAGGAAAATTCCCATCAAGGGAGCCAGGCCTTTCCCACTTTGGCTGCAACCCCAGTGTCCTTGGTTCTTGTGGGACATTTGGCCCTTTGGGATAACCAGGGCCTTCTCCCATGCTCCTCACAGCCCAGAACTCTCCTCCATCACTGATAAGCCTTTTTTTTTTTTTTTTTGAGACAGAGTCTCACACTGTGTTGCCCAGGCTAGAGTGCCGTGGCGTCATCCTAGCTCATAGCAACCTCAAACTCCTGGGCTCAAGCAATCTTTCTGCCTCAGCCTCCCGAGTAGCTGGGACTACAGGCATGCGCCACCATGCCCGGCTAATTTTTTCTATATATATTTTTAGTTGTCCGATTAATTTCTTTCTATTTTTGGTAGAGATGGGGTCTCGCTCTTGCTCAGGCTGGTCTCGAACTCCTGAGCTCAAACAATCCGCCCGCCTCGGCCTCCCAAAGTGCTGGGATTACAGGCGTGAACCACCACGCCCGGCCTGATAAGCCTTTTTTGTGACTCCACCTGGACCTACTTAACTCGGGAGCAGAAAAAATTAAGCCTCCCACAAGAGTTTTCTTGTCTTCCAGGACCTGCAGAAGCTGTGCGGGATGAGGGGGAGACAGAGAGGCATTTCCACGCCAGCCACTGCCCTCCTCTCCCCAGATCCTGGATCCTGGGCTCCACCTCCACCCTGCTCCCACATTCCTTTTCCTCAGCATCCTTTCAGCACTATTGGCAGGACAGGTCCCTCCGCCTCGCCACCACCACCCCCACCACCCCCTTAAGGGAAGTGTCATGCTATAGCAGCACTCACTCTGAAGCCAGGCAGTCCCGAAGTCTGATCCTGGCTCTGCCATCTGATCCTGGCTCTGCCATCTGATAGCTGAAAGTTCCCTACTTTAAACCTCAGTCATCTTATCTGTGAAATGTGGCGCCTCTGGGGATTCTGATGAAGGCAAAATGGGATAACAATGCCTGGCACTTAGTAAACATGCAGCACAATTGTTCTATTCATGTTTGTATTGAGCACCAACTATGCACCAGACACTGGGTATATAGAAACAAGACAGCACCTCTACAGGAGATAAATCATAACAAAAACAAAGCATAGAATCTGGTTACGAAAAGTGCGGAGAAGAAAAGCCAGGTGGAGTGGTGCGTGCACCTGTAGTCCCAGCTACTCAGGAGGCCGAGGTGGGAGGATCACGTGAGCCCAGGAGTTCGGGGCTGTAGTGCGCTATGCCCATCAGGTGTCCACACTAAGTTCAGCATCAATATGGTGACCTCCCAGGAACGGGGAACCATCAGGTTGCCTAAGGAGGGGTGAACTGGCCTGGGTCAAAAACACAGCAGGTCAGAACTCCCATGCTGCTCAGTAGGGGGATCGCTCTCTGCGTAGCCGCTGCACTCCAGCCTGGGCACCATAGTGACATCCCATCTCTTAAAAAAAAAAAAAGCACTGCAAAGAAAAATAAAGCAAGGTGAAGGGACAGGTAGAAAGAGATGGAGTTGGTACCATTTCACAAAGTACCCACCCTATCTCCCTGCTGGTCAGGGAAGGCCTCTCTGAGGAGGTGACATTTGAATGGAGTCACGAGTGAAATGAGGGAGGGGGTCAGGTGCAGCAAAATCCTGAGGCAGGAGAAGCTGGAGGAACAGCAGGAGGCCAGTGTGATTGGAGTGAAGTATGCGGGGCATGGGGGTGGGGACATCCCTCAGAAAGGGTTGAGGGCCAGATCCCACTAGAGCTTGCTGGCCAGGTAAGGAATGGGGACTTTATTCCAGCCTTGGGAAGGTTGAGAGCTTGGAGTGTGGTCTGAGTGGAGGGCTTTCCCAGTGTCCTTTTTCCCAACTAGATGGTAAGAGTCTGGTAAGGCCTCTGGCTCATGGCTCACTGCTGCCTCAGTAACGGCTTAATAAATGTTGCGGATTCTTTCAGTCAAGTCAGCAGCTCAGTGGCACTCTGCTAGGTACCAGGGATACAAAAATAAATGCCACTTGCTTGCTAAGTGCAGGAGAAAGCTGCTGGAGGACTTTGAGCACAGGCATGCTGTAACTTGATCTGTGTTTTTAGAAATCTTCTCTGCATGGAGCATGGACTGAGAGTGGTCATCAAGACTAGAAGTGGGGCCAGGCAGGTGTCACAAGTGACAGACTGGGCAGGACCTGTGATAACTGGAGATGGCAGGCCCTGTCTGGGGGAACAGCCGCTTGGCCATTTGGGATCGGGTAGAAATGTAGGCTCGGTGTGTGGCAGGCTTGGCAGAGAGGCAAGAGCGTGGGCTCTGGAGCCAGCCAGTGGCCCACTCACTCCCCAAACACACACTGAGCACTTACTTCTAAGGGCTGGACACCGGGTTTAAATTCTGGTTACACCACTGACAAAGCTGGGTGACCTTGATCAAGTCCCTCAGCCCTCAGAGGCCCAGCTTCCTGGTCTGTAAATGGGGAGACACAGCCCATGTTGCAGCATTGTTGGGAGGATTAAAGGACAAACTGGGTGCAGAGCTTACTCATGAAAGGATACTGTCAGCGTCCCTCTCCCTGCCCCACAGGCTGGCTGCACCCTAAGCTGCGTAATTTAGCCCACAGCTCCTCCTTCCCCATATAATGTGCTTCCCTCCTGACCTAGCTTCAAGGTGGAGGGCTGTTACTCACCTCCTCCTGGGCCAAGTCACACTTGCTGGGGTGGGGGACAGGGACAGGACTTCATAGACCCCACGATGGGCACCTGCCAGTCCTACATCGTTGTTACCCTCTCTGCTCTGCTCTTTCCATCTACCAGCCTGCCCTGGCTACAGGCTCCTTCCAGAGGGAAAAGGAGCCTCTGTCTGGCTGAAAGTCCTAAGACCCATTCAACCCTTGAATCTGCCCCTAATCTCTCTGAGGATTTATCCCCATCCCTCCTTCTCCTTCTTCCCCTGGCGCAGCAGTGAAGAGCACTACCCAAGCTACTGGTGGCTTCCAGGCCACACGTGGTTTGGCTCCTGCTCATTCCTACTCTCTCATCCCCCTGCCCCAGCACTCTGCTCTAGCCACCTGGCTGCCTGCCCCTTCTTTCTCTGACCTTGCCCATCTCTTTCCTACCTTGGGGTCTGGAGTGAGTACCACTTCCTAGCTCTCTGACCTCAGACAAGCTCTTTCCCCCTCTGCACCTGTTTTCTCAGCAATCACATGGATTTCTCATCCCCAGCTGGGGGGCAAGAGAGAGGGCAGCCCTTAACCCTTTATCTGGCCCAGAGTGGGCACTGATGGCTACAGTTTTTCAAATCACCCACGCTATTGCAGGCAGTTGGCCACCTGCTTTCTCCCACCCACCCTCATTGCTATCCGGAGGACTCAAAGGGTGCCTTCCCTTCTCTTCTCTCCCCCTGCAGGACACTTTTGTGGAACTCTACGGAAACAATGCAGCAGCTGAGAGCCGGAAGGGCCAGGAACGCTTCAACCGCTGGTTCCTGACGGGCATGACTGTGGCTGGCGTGGTTCTGCTGGGCTCGCTCTTCAGTCGGAAATGACCAGACACTGACCATCCACTCACCCTCCCATCCCCTGCCCTGCCCCACCACATCCCTCCGTCCAGCCACCATTGCCACCAGGAGAACCACTACATGCAGCCTGTGCCCGCCCATCCACCTACCACTGGGTTGGGCCCAGACCTGGTCCCCTGCAATTAGTTTTCTAGAATTTACCACGCTTCTGTGAGAGCCACCTTCCCCCACACCTCAGTTCTCTCAGCCTCGAAATCCCCAAAGTTTCCCCCAAATCTGCCCCATGGAGGCAGGCAGGTATGGGAGGGCTTGTGGCTGAGGGCAGGAGGGCCCTGCCTGATTGGTGGAACCCTTACCCCTTAGCCTCCCCAAAAATGCTTTTCTGCCAGGGAGCTGGAAAGTTTTAGGAACCTCTTCCCGAGAAAGAGAGACTAGATTGCCTTTGTTTCAATGATCATTCCCCACCCCTACCCCTGACCTAGGCTCCTCTTCATTCCATCCCCATCCCCAAGAACCACTTAGAGGACATGCGTGACTAATTAGGGATTCAGGCTGCTTGGAATAAAGAAGCAAGGACCAGGACTCCCTCCCCACCTCTGGTCTGGCCAAAGTCCCCACTCCCAGTCCGAATGTCCTCCAGAGGCCTCTGGCTAGAGGCCAGCCCCACACAGGAGGGAGGGGGCTATAGCTGCAGGAAGCACCCCATGCCAAAGCTAGGGTGGCCCTTGCAGTTTAGTACCACCATAGTCCCTTCCCCTCCCCTGGCTCCCATGACCATGACTGAGGGACCAACTGAGCCCAAGGCAGATGGTGCCCCAGAGCTGTTTATGGCCTCAGCTGCCTCACTTCCTGTAAGGAGATCAGCTGGTGGCATCTTTGTCTTGGGCTGTTGCCCATGGGGTCCAGGGGTTCAGGGGCCTCAGCTCAGAGGTGAAGGGGAGCTATAGGGACAGCCGTAGGAGCCCTTGGGTCTTCCCTACCTCAGGCAGGAAGGGCAAGAAGAAAAGCCTGGTGCACAGGGTTGGGGTGAGGCAGACTGGAGGGGCCATCTAGCCTGGGCAGCCGGGCTGCCAAGGACAGAGTGGCCTGGCCAGGAGCCCTTTAGGCCTCCCTCTCTCCTCTGCTCCACCCTTGCCCTGTCCCGGGGGTCCCGGCCCAGCCCCAGTCACCCTGGGCTCTCTGCTGTACATATTCGAGACTAGTTTTTATTCCTTGTGAAGATGATATACTATTTTTGTTAAGCGTGTCTGTATTTATGTGTGAGGAGCTGCTGGCTTGCTGTGCGTGTGCACGTGGAGAGCTGGTGCCCGGAGATTGGACGGCCTGACGCTCCCTCCCCTGCCCTGGTCCAGGCAAGCCGGCCAGGGGCCCTGGCTCCTGAGGGGCACATGTCCCTCCCCCAACCCCCCCCACACACTTGTTCCAGCTCTTTGAAATAGTCTGTGTGAAGGTGAAATTGAAGTTAAGTAATAAACCGTGTTGACTCAGTGAACAAAGGGCCTGAGCTCTGGTGTGCTCTGGGATGGGGGAAGGAGGGCTGCCGGAGAGCTGGGTACCGGGTCTTGGCTCTGCTGCCCTCAGGGAAGGCCTTGGGCAAGTCCATTCCTCCCTGTGGGCCCGAATTTCTCAACCTGTACATTGACAGGGTCTTTTACTGAGCACCTGCTGTGTGCTGGGCACTGGGACTGTGTGTGAACAGGGCAGACACAGTCTCCACCCTCAGGAGCTGACATTCCAGTGGAGAAATGGTCAAATAGCCACTTTGCAAGTGTTTACTGAGCCCTGCATGGGCACAGCCCTAGGCACTGGGGATTCTGCAAGTAAACGAAGCCCTTGTCTTTAAATACTATCCATTCTAGTGACACAAAAGCACAGCTCTGTCTGCCATAGAGTGGGCCGGGGGAAGGTATGCTACCTTTCCTCAGCCATCATAAGGGTCATGGGTGACACTCCTAGAACAAGACAGATTAACAAGAGAAGGACAAATGTGTTCAATCAAAGTTTTACGTGACACAGGAGCCTTCAGAAATGAAGACCCCAAAACCCAGGGACAACTATCCATTTTTATACTTGGATTCAATGAACACTGGACAGCTGGACAAAAAGGGTCTGATCTAATGGTAACAGGCTGAATGGGGAAACCCAACAAGGCCTTTCTGTTCAGATTCTTGGCCTCTGTGTAGTATTCCTTCCTCACGGGTCTAGGACAGGATCCTTCTGGAATGAGGGTCTTAGGACAGACAAGACATAGGTAAGTCAGAGAATTTCTTTATGGCCAGCTTCTACACAGACAGGAAGGTTAGATTAATATTTCTGGGTTTCGTGGCTTGCTTTGGAGGAGAGGGGTTCTGGTTTCTATGACACACCTTGGGGAAGAGGAATCTGCTCAGGGCGGGGGAACGTCAGAGAGAACTTGCTTCTGAGGCCTTCCAGGCTCTTCTAGTTCAAAGAACTCAGCATGCCAAAGCGCCATCCTTTGGAGTATCGTTCCATGAGTTCCAACAAGGGCAGAGGTTGAAAAAGGACAACCATGAGGAAACTTCAGTCTTCTGGCAAGATATGAAGGACTTAGTAGGGAAGGAGGTAAGAAGGGGTTAGACCTGAGAGAACATTATTGAGGTGGGTCCCACAGCATTTCAAATGGAATAGAGACAGCTTTAGAGAAGACTCAAGAGTGATGGGTTTTTGGAATAGTGATGCCATTATAAATAGAAAAATGAAGCACATGTCTGAGGCCATTGCAACCCAAGAGGCTCACAGTGCTCCAATGGCATTTAATATGGGATCTGAGCTTGTCTGGGAGTCAGGAGTCAGGGAGGACTCCCTGGTGGAAGTAGCACAAGAGCCAGCGCCTGTAGGGGCATCATGATTGACCAACAGAAGTAGGGAAACAGGAGAGTGGGCCCGAGGAAGAAACAGCAAACGCACCATTTGAGCAGGGGTTGGCCTCAGGCTGAAGGAAAGTTCATGTGCCTGGAGCTGAGAGTGAGGGGCTTCCTGGGTTAAGATGATGGGTGAGGGGACTTAACTTGATCCTGAGGGCAGTGAGAGCCGGAGAAAGATGATAATTAAGGAGCGATGTCCCCCCTGGAGCCCCCAAAGCTCCCTCTGGCTGCTGCGGAGGTTCTGAGAGGGGGAGCAGAATGGAAACCCGCAGACCAGTGAGGAAGCCTGATTTGGTTAACGCTCTGGTTTTGAGAGTGGGCAGGCCAGGTGTGTCCCGCGTCACCATTCCTGCTCTTGTGACTTTGAGCCACTTACCTATCCTCTCCATGCCCTAGCCTTTCCCTCTACAAAATGGGTGTGATGGTAGTGCTCATCTCACAGGGCTGTGGTCAATCAAACGAAATAACCCAACAGAGGTGGGGGAGGACTGCATGCTGGCGGGTGGGTGCAGGGATGACCCCGCCATCCGCCGGCTCTCCAGGAGGAGGGATTCCACGTGGCTGTGGCCGGCGGTCGGGGGGTGTCTGGGAATGCGGTCAAAGACTCCGGGGGCGGCCGCTCCAGCCGGAGGGCGGGTCTGCAGGCGGAACCTGCCTCCAGCGCTCCGCCCCACTGGCTTACTGGAGCGGGCTTGACTGACCCCTGGTGGCCGCGGGATGCCACCTGGAAGCCAACCAAGCTGCTCTCGCTCAGCGGCCAGGACTTCTGTCTCCCGCCCAGCCACCCTCCTCCAATGTCCGCCATCCTCTGCCCTGTTCGCCTGAACACATCTACACTTCCAGACCGTGGGTACCAGATTCAGAGCTTGCCCAGCTCTGTAGGGCTCAGAGTCGCATTCTCCTTGGGTCAAGATCAAAGCCTCCAGCCTCCTTCCCCGCCTCCCCCAACAATGTATCCCTAGCTCCTACCCCTACCATAGCCACGCAGGTTCCTTGCCCAGATTCTCCATATGCTTCCAGAAATGTCTTTTCACATACTGGAATAGATATAAATATATTTTTAACCTGCCTCCCAATTTGTTTTTTTACAGAAATGGTAAAATACTAGACACACTTTGCCTAGAAGTTTCCATATTCAGACACGAATCCTCATGTACTCATCGGGCAGTTTCAACAATTGTCAACTCATGACAACTGTATTCTTTTTTTCTAGCTATGTAGTATTCCACAAAAATTTTAACCAGACCTGTAACTCAGTGATTCCCAACCTTATGCATGCCATGGGACACACGTAAAATACTGGAATTGCACAGATGGAAAGTTGGAAGGGGTTGGGGACTGTCTGTGTGGGTGTTGGAGAATATTTCATTCCATTTCCATATATTACATATTTGTGATGAAAGAAAGGAAATACAACATATTTCATAGGAAAGATATGGAGTATTAATTAATTTTTGATTAAAACATGCAATACATAAAATATGCTTTAAATTGTTTCTTAAGAAACTTGATTTTGGTCCTGTAAATGCAACATTTTATACGATGTTTTATTATTAAAATAGCTCACACAATTCCTGATCAAGGCATCAAGAGACTTTGTAATCTCAAACAGGAGATAAAAGAAAAATTTTAAATATTCCAAAGCTTACAATTGAAATAGTTAAACATTCTAATATTTCTTTAATTGACTGTTTGTCAATGTTAATATTTCTTGTAATCAAATGGATTTCAAATCCGTGTTTCTTTTTTTTCTTTTTCTTTTCTTTTTTTTGAGACATAGTCTTGCTCCGTTGCCTGGGTTAGAGTGCTGTGGCGTCAGCCTAGCCCACAGCAACTTCAAACTCCTGGGCTCAAGTGATCCTCCTACCTCAGCCTCCTGAGTAGCTGGGACTACAGGCACGTACCACCATGCCCGGCTAATTTTTCCTATTTTTAGTCTCACTTCTTGCTCAGGCTGGTCTCGAACTCCTGAGCTCAAGCGATCCTCCCCCCTTGGCCTGCCAGAGTGCTAGGATTACAGGCATGAGCCACCGTGCCCAGCCGATTTCAAATCCAAATCGACTTTTTCATTTTGGGCATTTTAAAATAATGAGTTCAGAGCACCGGAAAAGATGTAAAGCTTTCACTTTCTTTTCTTTCTTTTTGAGGCAATTATAAATGTTATTAAAACTGGACAAGGCTGTGTAGCACAAAGGAAGAGAGAGGAAGGAAGGAAGGAATTAAAGGAGGAAGGAAGGGAGGAAGAGAGGGAGGAACGAAAGAAGAAAGGAAGGAAAGGAAAGGGAATTCTAGGTCAAGGTTATTTATAAAAATGTATTCCAAAGTTCTAAATATAATATTAACAAATCGAATCTAATATCATATTAAAAGAATGATACATCATGACCTAGTAGAGTTTATTCCAGGTAAACAAGACTGACTCAATACAGGAACTCTTTCTATGTAATTCATTGTATTGAAAGATTAACAAAAAAATAGTTATGATTATTTCAGTAGATGTCAAAATAGTGTTTTGTAAAATTCAACACTTATTCATGATTTTTTTTTTTTTTGAGACAGAGTCTCACTGTGCTGCCCGGGCTAGAGTGCTGTGGCATCATCCTAGCTCACAGCAACCTCCAACTCCTGGGCTCAAGTGATCCTTCTGCCTCAGCCTCCCGAGTAGCTGGGACTACAGGCATGCGCCACCATGCCTGGCTAATTTTTTCTATATATTTTTAGTTGTCTCTATTTTTAGTTGAGACGGGATCTCGCTCTTGCTCAGGCTGGTCTTGAACTCCTGACCTCAAGTGATCCACTCGCCTCGGCCTCCCAGAGAGGTAGGATTACAGGCGTGAGCCACCGCGCCCGGCCTAGTCATGATTTTTTTAAAAGAAAAAAACAACTTTTAGCAATCCAAGGATTGAAAGTCAGCTTTCACTTCTTTATAGTCTTCTGAATTCTATAGACATTTAAATAATGATTGTGGGCAGTGCTTGTGCAATTTTAAAAAATTAACAAGTCATGCAGGAAAACTAGCAACTTCTATCATGATCAAAGTCATTACATAATGTCCAGCTCTCCATTTTTTGACTCCACCATTACAGCCTTTGTCCTGAGGCAAAAATAATAAGAACTTTTTCTTAGTGTATAGAAAATAATAGAAATGAACATGTATGACCTATATAAATTTATGTCTTTTCATTTTTCATAAATATCCATGCACTAATGTTAGAATTATGGGAGTGTGGAGTATTTATTCCCTCTTAAATTATTTACGCCATCTCATTCCAGTAGGTTCATACATAGTTTGAATAATTTCATTATAAAGAGCCTTGCGAATTCTCATGAAATCGAATGGCCATATTCCAAAGTTTTAACAAGTCAATGTTAAAAGTTGAGGAAGTCATTCTTAAAACACTAAGGTACCAAGAATATGGACATGAAGTCAGAAAAAGTTCCTTTCAAAATAAAAAAGAATATAAACATAACGTAGTGGTAGAACCAATGAGATGGTTTGTAAATGTGTTGCTGAGTAGGAAATGACCAGTCCCAGCATCACGAAGTTCCCGTGTCAGGCTCAAATTGCACTGATGTAAAAAACAAACAAATCTCGCCCCCCCCCCCCGCCA